GACTATACTCAGAGATCTACGACAGGCCGTAATGCGGACCGACTGACCGATGGCCGGACCCACAGACGAATAGATCGATAGATGGACGGGCCGAAAGGTGCGTGGTCCAAAAGGAGGGTGGTCTGATAGGTGGGTGGACCGAAACGCGGTTAAGCCGACCCACGGACAGACCGACAGAGGGATGGACCGCCAGACGTACAAGCCGAAGGGCGGACGGGCCGATGGTGAGTAGACCGAAATGCGGTTAGACCGACCGTCAGAGGGATGGATCGCTAGACGAACAAACCGAAAGGCGGACGGACCGACAGGTGGGCAGACCGACAGAGAGATGAACCGACAGACGGTCAGGCCGAAAGGCGGACGGAGTGACATGTGAATAGACCGACAGAGGAATGAACTGACAGCCAGACAAACCCACTGTTGGGCATACCGGCACAACGACAGATAAGCATTCGGACATGTCTGCAGGTGATTTCCCTAACAGGTTATCAGATGAACCGACCGAAAGATGGACAAACGGCCCGTGGGATGGACCAACAGATGGACGAACCGACAGACGGACAGACCACAGAGGGAAAGACCAACAGAGGAAAGAGTCAACAGAACGATGAACCGACAGATGAACAGACCAGAAGATTATAGAACCGACAGGCGATCAGACGACCAGACATCTAGACAGTCATCGTGTAATTGTTTCGCCTCATCGTTCAATGAAGTTTGATATAGATATATTTAGACCGAGTACCGATACATACAAACCGTTAACTGAACAAAACTAATATACTCAGTGCATACAGCTCACTTCTTACAAAGTACAAGTTGTTTTTGTAATAGGATCGTCCTCGCGATCGTTGTACGATCTGTTCTTAATTGCTCAAGCAAACCGCGGTCGTTTCAGGTCGACCAGTCTCTAGCGTTATTAGCTCAATCGCAGTGATTTCGACAATAGTCACAAGATATTATCTTCAGTTGTATAAGTGTATATTTATGCGCCTGTATGTAGTTACGATCTATTATTTTGAGTAGTCAATAATAGGACAAGACAACACTCCCTTACTGGGGAACAAAAGAATTAAAAAACAAAAAAAGTATTGTTAGCGCAACGGTAGAAAGTTGCCGCTAAATTGGTAAATAATTACTTATGCGCTTGCGGTGTAAACATGCATAAACAAATATATACGTAAGGATATTTTCGCAAGGACATCTTTTCTTCATACTCACGAGCTGACATCGAGACATCGAAGTGCAAGATTTTTCTTTGTTTTGCATCTTAACCATTTTTTATTTATTTTTTTTCTATTTTAGTATTTTTTTTAGCAAAAGTGTGCGAGTTGCATCCATTAAGCGTTTCATAATATTTTCTGTTTAATGGTTGTCGTCAAATTTGGCCTTTCCATTAGATATGCTGACTTTTTTAGCAAAAAAAAACAGTGCAAATTTTCCGCTTAAACGGAAACCATTTTTTTTTTTTTACAAAAAAAAACAACCTTTTTTTATCGATTTTTAGTTGGTTTTTTAAGAATTTTTCGTATATTTTAATTTTTTGTGTGTGTTTTTTATGCGTTTTTCGTTGCAAACAAGGCCTTTCTTGCAATTTTTTATGCTTCTAACTTCTAATGGCATGCAGTTTTTTTACGAGTTCTGCCTGCCCCGATCAGTTGCTATTCCTTGTACATTTTTTGTCGCTCTCTTAGCTGAAATTGCGTTTTTCTGCGAAGTATTTGCACTGGAATTTTACTGACTTCCTGATTTTTAGGCAACATTTTCATTTTTTACACTCAGTTTCTTTCATACCTTTGGTTTGAGTGTTCTTTCATTAAACCTTGTACGTTTTTTAGGTTTTCCGAGAAATGCAAGGCAGAATATCCTTTCCATAAAAACCTTCAAACTGAAGTAAAAATGTTCAGAAAAGTAGAAAATCTTCTTTGTTTTCACTAACCAAACCCGAGCTGTTACTGGATATTGCATGTTCTCTGCATCAAGGAGAAAATTAAAATTTTGTACGGTATGAAATTTAAAAAAAAAAAATTTTTGGCTGATCTAGATAAGAAGAGATATATATATTATATTTATGAAGGAGCTTTCGATTGGTATATCTCACTTTCCCCCTCCCTTCAGTAGTAATAAGTACTTAATTTCTACATTTTTTTCAAAGCAGTACATATAAGAGAAATGGGCAACGCTTTCGCCAAGCCAAATGGAGCCTTTTGACCTGGCTGAAGGAAACATTTGTTCTTTGGCAACCTTGCTTTCAACTAAATCTCTAGAAGAACAAGAATAAATGTAAATATCTCATACGAGGTGTGACAATTAAGTAATGAGACTGATTCCATAAAAACCGCATATTTCAAAATTATTCTGCAACTCTGCCATCCCCTTCAAAGTAGTGCCCTTAGACAGCTATACAACGATTCCAGCGCGTTTTCCATGCTTCGTAACATTTCTGGAACTGGAATGACCGCTTCCTCGATCGACCCAAAATGGATTCCTTTGACGACTGATTTTGTACTCGGGAACAAAAACAAGTCAGAGGGTGACATGTCGGTTGTTGCAATACGACGATTTTTTAGAAGCCAATTACTGGGACACGATGAGGGCTGTGTGGCACGGAGGAGGAAGGATCCAGTTGCGAGCGATGTCTGGGCGCACCCTGTTGGCTCGTTTTCGCAGTCTTTCGAGTACTTGCCGATAGTAAACTGGATTACACTATGACTCTCTCACGTGTATCCTCTTTTCATTAAGCCATTTAAATAAAGGATTTGTATAAGAAATTTTCGCAACACTATTAAATACCAAAACAAAAAAAAAATTTTCTTTTATTTAATAATCAATATAAATTATCTATAATATTTCAGTCTATATTTTAAATTTGAAAAAAAAAAAAAATTTTATTAATAATTATAATTCTCATTAATACTGACAAAAAAGATGAAGCACCCTGTACATTTATTTCAATAACACTGGAATGATGATGAGCCAGGCATTAAGTGCCTCTGCGCGCGGGGAATAAAGAGATATCTGTAAGTGTGATGTGGCAGTGTTGCAGGGTTTTAGTAGCTGAACCAGAGAAGAAGAGGTTACAGACCCTTAAATGCTCATCCCACTTGCTCCGATTCTTTTGGTTAGCTTTTTTCAAGTTAGGATATGTAAGTACGAGTATATCTTAAAGTCAGTTTTCGCCTCTGAGATCTTTTTCGACAGTTTAGCTTGGTTTCTTGGACCGTAGCTATTGACAATTGCTTCTGGCTCATGAGGTCGATCACCTCCCCGATATTCCCCTTGAATCCATTGCAGTAGATTCGGAAAAGTCTAATTTTTCTCGAGAAGATATTCGCATCATGGGGGATGAGGTTGTGATGTGCGAGAAGGTTGCTGCAAATTGGTGATATTTAGCGATGGTTCAGTAAGAGGAAACCTACGCACTAATTCACTCACAAAAGGCGCGTAGGTCTGTACAAGAAATCACATCTGAAGGATATCTTAGTACTGTGCTCCGACACACGGAACAGACTGGCTGTGTACCAGAAGTTTCTAAGTAGCGCCCAAAAGCTGTTATGGCGAGCTCCGTTGTACCATAGATGTATGAGGATATCTGATTGCATAAAGTAGATTATATTGCACAAAGAACAGCCGTAAAGGCTTGGATCCTAAGATTGTTAAGGGTTCAAAAATTTAACCGCTGTGAGACATGCCTGTAGTAGGAGGCGACTAAATTCTAATTTTCGGGTTTTTGTACCGCAACGACACAGATCTTTATCAGGCCAAAGGTCACTCCCGCAATATTCTTTGAAAAAAATGTCAACAACAAGCGCAACAAAAATTACAACAACAACACGGCCACGAACCACATCAACGGTAGCAGCAGTGGCAACAACAACAACAACAACAATAAAAATAACATAGTCATCGACAACGCCATCAACAACAAAAACATCATCGTCAGCGTCATCACATTGATCATCATAACCATCATCATCATCATCATCATCATCATCATCATGATCATCATCATAATCATCATAATCAATAATAATAACAACAACAACAACAACAATAACAACAACAACAACAACAACAACAACAACAACAAAAGTAACCACAAGGACAACCAGCTTGGGTAAGAGTCAAATCAACTTATTACTTCTTTCTCTCTGTTGCTCCCAAATTGAAAAAGTTGATTGAAAATTCCTTTTAATGTATGAAAAAATCACCAAAATATTTTGTGTTTAATTTAAATTTTTATTTTATTAATTTTATTTTTTTTTTTTTAATTTTTAATATACTGACTTTATACCTTACACTCATCATAATCATATGAATTTGTAAAAAAATTTTACCTATTAATATGGATAGTAATAAATAAAATTCTATACTTATTAAATATTTTCTTATTTAATTTTTGTTTAATATAATTTATTTAATTTACCTAAAATTTATTATTAACTAACATTTTTATCTTTTGTTTTGGGTTTTATATTTATATAATACTTATGTTCACACATACATTTTTACATACATACATATACATGCATAAATATATTTCAACAAACTTTGCTTGCTTGACTTTAATGCTAATTTTAAGGCTTACTTCAACTTACATAACGAATGAGACTACTTCAATTCTTGCATTTTTTTTTTTAACCTATTTTTATAATATATACATAAATACTATAAATATTTGTTAAATTATTATTTTTTATTTATTTAAACAGACATAATTTACTTTCACTAAAATAATTAAAAAAAAAAAAAAAATAAAAATTAAAAAAAAAATATTTATTAAAATTTGATTGGAAAATTTCTTAAAAAAAAAATAATACTGAAAACAAAAATAAAATTTAAGGCTTATGTTATTGTATTATAGCTATCTCTCTTCAACATATAAACAGCCGACATTCCATTGGAATGAGAGACAGATAGTTAGAGCATGAGAGGGAGAGGGTATAGGTTTGTCTATGCGAAATTGTTATAAACAACAACTTACAACTGACAACAGTTACTTTGTTGAGCTGGAGTACTCACTGGAGTGTGTAAGTGTTGGAGTGTGAACGCAGAGTGCGCGGCGCGAATGTATTGTACAACAATAACTATTGCAATTGCCTTTGTAACGCTACGCGTGAGCATGTATTTGGCGGCACTCATTTGCATTCCGTTATTCCACATGCACGTTGGATGATAAACTACAACAAAACTACTTAACATCAGTAGAGACTAACAGCCCGTATGCCGGCGTTTGAGGCTCAGACCATTGAGCGAGCTCCTCCTACCGCGTCAGCTTTTCTCTTCGGCCTTTCCAAGTACCGAGTGGATGTGTGGTGGTTATGCTAGATGCGCTGTGTTTACGCACACATATATATACCGCGCTTACTAGACACCGCCGACCCCGTTGATGCTGAGCCCTGTGACGATGCATAACCCAGCGAACTATAACCCTCATCTGATCTCTTTGAACGCTTTTGTGCGATCTCATCATTGCCACTAATATCCGATGACATATCGGAATCGATTTGATAGCTGATATACTTCCGAATGGCCTCGGTCTGGTTCAAATCGCAGCTCATTTCACAATCGACACTGGACGTTGAGCTGATCGTCTTCATGCTGAGATCTATGGGGCCATCTTGTGCGTCACTAATGCCGCTAGAACTAGTATGGGAATGTGTGCTCTCGGTGGTGTTGGAATAATCGGAGACTGGTGAGAGTGATTGCAACTTTTCGGCGAAGGCCAGCGCAGTAGATTCAGTGGTGGCAACAGTTGGCGCATTGCTGATGGATGTGGGTGAAAACGTTTCAGGTGTATGTGACTCGAGTGAATTAGGCGTAAGCGCTGTGGTGGGCACGTTCAAGCTGAGGGGGGAGGCGGAGAAGCGCTGCCCATATAAAGAAACTGAACCAAATATTTCCGGTTGATGTTGTTGTGGTTCATTGCTTTGTGCATTTATTGGTGCTGTGGGTGGAGGAGAATGTACATTTAATTCAACTTCTTCCAAGTCATCATCATCATCGCCGCCGCTCGCAACACACAACTCTGGAGATTGTGGTTGCACTTGCCGTGTTTCACGCATTTTTTGTGCCACACTTATCGATTTGTCTGCTTCCCTGTGCGGTGTTCCATCAGTTAAGTCATTTGTCGCGGAATCAACAGATTTCTGCTGTCTATACATATCTGGGAAATAACCAGGTGGTGCCCGATAACCAGCCGTACCGACATGATTTGCGATGAGCATTGGGTATCCGGGATGTGTTGGTAGCATACTAAAGAAGGGCATCGTAGGATTGGCTGGACGATGTCCTAAAGTAGGTGCAGGCATAAAGATGTTCGACATCAACATTTCGTTAACATTGTAGGAATAACCACCAACAGCACCACCACCACCACCACCACCAGCACCGAATAAGGCACTGTAATGTGGATTCAAGGATTGCATTTGATGTTTAGCGAGACTTTCAGCAGCCGTGGTCATATCACCATAGCCAGTTGTGGTATTTGTTGTATTTGTTGTTGTAGCTGTTGATCTATTGATCGCATCGAGTTGTTGTTGTTGCTGCTCTTGTAAAAGACAATGTATTTTAAACCAATTGGAACGACGGCCATAGCGCGAACCACCCTTTGACATGCCTACGGCATAGCATTTGCGTAGGCGGCAAGCCTTACAGGTAGTGCGATTCTTCTTGTCAATAACGCATTTGCCATTGTTTTTGCACTCAGTGATCGAGGAGAGATTGTTATAGGAGCGGCCGAAAAAGGACTGCGGACGGAAGAGGAAAATAGAAAAAAAAATTAATAAAATAGAATAAAAGTTGGGAGAACTTAATTGGGAAGAAATAATTAAAAAAAACCAAATATATATGCATTTCGTATAACTTTTATTAGCATAAGAAATATTATTTAAATTACAATTATAACAAGCATTTTGAAATACATATTGGAGCTTGATTTTTAGAGCAAAATAAAATCAAGAGATAAACACAACAAAAATTTAAATAAAAATAAATAGAAAACTTAAAAATATCCATTAAATTTAATAAAATATAATATATTTCAGAAGAAATAAAAATAAATATTAAAAAACCATTCATAAAAAAGGTAAAATTTTTTCTTTGTTTTAAACTTACCTTACAGCCCTCGCATGTAAAAGCACCGAAATGAAAACCGGCTGCTGGTTCACCACATACTTTGCACGTTTGATTCATCTGTAAAAGAATAAAAAAATATAAATTTAAATTACAAATTAAATTAACTATATAACTGAAAAATAATAATGAAAATTAAAAGAAAATTAATTGCAAAAATAAAAATAAAAAAATTAACAAATTAAACCTTTCAAAAAAATTACAAACGAATTTAAAAAATTATTTTAAAAATTATTGGCAAATAAAAAAAAATGATGAAATGCTCTATATGCAACAAAAAAAAATTTCTAAGCACATTTTTAAGCACAACACTATTGTTCAAATGCTTCGTTAGCATTTAATTAACTTATTTATTTTTTAAAAGCAAAATATTCTTTTTAGTTCAGTCTGTCTCTGCAGATTTTTCTTTCTATATCTATCTGTCTGTCGTAGACCCAGCACCACTTAGTCAGTAGGTTCAGCAAAATTAAATTTTTTAAGCTCCCGTGCGTACCATTGTAATCCCAACGTCATATGCGCCCAGCTCCATTGTGTCCGTTAAATCCATCATTGTGTGACGTATGTATACGCGCGTAATATCGTTAGAAAATTTTTTTTGTTTAAGATTTTCTTGCTATTTAATTTAGAAATGTCTCAAATTGGTCTTGTGGCGGCTGTTATTATTATTATTATTGTCGTTGTTTTTGGTCGTTGTTGTTGTTGTGGTTGTTGGTGTGATTATTGTTGTTGTTATTGTCGTTATTGTTGATGTTGCTGTAGTTGTGGTTGTGGTTGTTGTTGTTGTTGTTGTTGCTGCTGCTGCTGTAGCGGTTCGTTATATTGATTTATGTTCCGTCTCAGTTAACGTTTAAGTTATGACTGTAGAGATTTGCACACTCAAATCATTTTATACCCAAACTACTATCTCAAAAGTAGCCCAAAATTGTTGCCATGCGCCGCCTTATGTCCTTTCATTCATTGAGTATTTTTACTTAAATAGGAAATTTTTGCAGTTTATTGTCACATTTTTTAACACTCAGTCTCGTGCTGATTATCTCGTTTTAAGCAACTTAGGTAACGTATACATACGCTACACATACACATAGGTCAAAATCTAATGATTTACTACTGTCTTTTGAGCCATCTTTCTCTTAGCCCGAGTGAAATAGCCTCGTTAAATAAAAAAAATTGCTTGAGATTTTTTTTTGTTGCAATTTCTGCAAATGTACATATAAAAATATTGCATCTCCTACGCCTTGGTGCCCTTTTTCTTATATACATAGGATTATTTTCTAAAGCTATAATTTGTTAAAAAAAATAAATCCCATAACCTACATGTAAGTACTTCAATATTTCGTCGATCTCATTAGACCTTTATTAGCGGCTATCGCGCTACGTATTTTAATTTAATATAGTTGTTTGCTCCTTTTAATTTTAGCAATGACCTTGCAGAACTATTAAACAATTAAATTTAATTACTCTAAATAGTCCTTAGCAATATTGCGCAAGTGATATGTCAACCAAGGAACATACACATGCCTGTATTCTTTTTGCCCCCTTCTTAATATATACTTCTCTAAAACAATTATTATTATTACTTTTCTTTTTGAAACAAGATTACACTGTATGCTAAATGTATGTACGACAATTTAATTATTATTTGTTTTTTATGTAAGTTTTTAATTTCATATTTCAATACTACATTTCTTTTTACTAAAGATTTTATTTTATTTATTAATTTTGTATGTTATTTCTTTTAATTTTTTAATTTTATTTGGCTTATTAGTTTTTTTATTTAATTTATAAAATTTTTATTCTATTTTATAAAATATTTTTTTTTTATTAAGTAAAGAGTTTTAATATTATATTAATAATAATTTTTAGTATTATTTCAGTTTTATTTTATTTTTTATTTCATTAATTTTTTTTTAACTATATTGATTTTTACTGTATTTCATATATTTTTTGTTTTATTTACAAAAGCCAATAAATAAAAAGAAAAATATATTTTGTATTATTTACTTATTTTTTTTTTAATATTTGGTTTATTTTATTGACAAATTTTTTTTTAATTTTTTTTTTTAATTTTTTTTTTATTTATTAATTTTTTTTTTATTTATTAATTTTTTTTTATTTATTAAATTTTTTTTTTATTTATTAAATTTTATTTATTTATTAATTCTTTTTTTTATTTATTAATTTTTTTTTTTATTTATTAATTTTTTTTTATTTTATTTATTCATTTTTTTTATTTTATTTATTCATTTTTTTTTATTTTATTTATTAATTTTTTTTTATTTTATTTATTTTTATATTTATTTTATTTTTTTTATTTATTTTATTTATTAATTTTGTATTATATTATTTTTTTATTATTTTTTTTTGCTTAATTATTTAAGTTCTAATATATCTTCTTTATTATTTGATTTTTTTAATTGTTGTTTGTTGATTTTAATTGTAAATAATATATATATTTGATCATTGTTTAATTAATAAATTTTAAAAGTAAATAATATATGGCTGTACCGAGATATTTAAGAAAAAGTTATAACGTTTTTTCATATTTCTTATTACTAGTAAAGAAAATTAAGTAAAAAAATATTTAAAAAAAAATTTAAAAAAATATTATTTTCAAAAAATTACAAAGTTTATAAAAGCTAAAATATTTAGGATGTAAAATTTTAATAAAGAAAAAAGTGAAAGCCATGTTTAGAAAAACTATTGCACACTCACCTTGATTGACTATTTATTTGGTCTCCTTGTATAGCGAAGTTTTCTTTTTATTGCCTATTTTTATTTTTTGTATATAACAGCAGATATTGTTTTTTGTATAAGTTTATATTTATTTTTTATTAACACTTTGCGCAATATTATTGTTTCCAATCTAACAGCTGGGTTTTTCAGTTCATTGTTTTGATTTTCTTTTTCTACTCAAACAGCGCCAATTAGAATTTTCTGCACTTTATTGGTTTATAATAAACAGTTGTTTGACAATTATATTTAATATTAAAATATGCTTGTTTCGTCTCATGCAGCCAATGTAATTGTCACACTTGCGTTTGCGATAAATTCCAAAAATGTTTTCTTAGTCTTACTGAATAAGCTTTTTTATATTGTATTGTTTTTTTTACTTTACAACGTAATTCTCATTTTGTTTTTCCGCTTAGTACTTAGCCAAAAACGTCGTGTAAGAAAACTAGTCTTCAAAGTTGTTTACCACACTGATATAGATATGTATGTATGTATATTAAGCCACTTGTATGTTGTGTGCTTTTAAATTTTTCTCTTGATTCGCGCGTTTTACGTTTTCTACGCTTCGAGAACTGGCAGTGAACTGAATTGATGTATCTTTCAATGTCTTACAAGAAGCATATTTCCACCATCCATGTGAGCACATATACCTTGATACCACCACTTTAACTCGAATTTACTGATTCTCCTACCCTATAAGCAGCAATGAGAAACAATGTTATCGAAGCTACATACTCACAGACAATAAGAAAGAGGAAAAAATAAAATAACAAAAAATAAATACAAATACATATACAAATACAATATAAAGCAGCAGTCATACATGCATATATACTCATCGTATGTACATCTGCAGTTACAATAACACAAAAGACTTTGCACACAAACCACCAACAACCACCACCAGCTTTAACCGAATAATCTTCGATGGCGTTAACACCAAGTGAGCGGCTTAGCTCAGTAGCAACAGTAGCATGATCACTGTAAAAGTGTACGTACGATCGACGTAGGCAGTGGCAGCGCAGTTGTGGCGCAACCATTAACAGAGCAGCTGGTGCAAATGTCTGCTGATGTTCTGGTAACAGTAGTATCTACATGCAAAGTGTTAACATAAGCGTCTACGAACTGTTAAGCACATGTTCTGTTAAATGCGTAACAGTTGACTGTTAACGGTCAGTGCGCTAAATGTTAAGTCACGCTGTTCTGTAGTGGCTGTAACTTCTAGAGTGGAAGCGCTGGCAATGCAATTTAACAGATAATGTTAATAACTTCTCTGTAAAAACTTTACTGGCATGTACAGAAAATGTAGCGATATTTGAAAATTTATTTAACAAACTGTTAAACACTACTACTGTAAAAACGTTGATTTTAAGATTTATATCAAAGGTTGATTTTATTTGATATTTTAATATTGATTTCTATCTTTATAAAATTTAAAAAAATATTAGATGTTTATTTATAATACCATTAAGCGAGAATTAGCTCAGTTGTAGTTTGAACAGGCGCCGATTTATATTGAAACAGTTAAATTTTCCTTTAAATAATTTTTTTTCTCATAACGTAAACTCTACTTAGCGTTTTGTACTATATATGCTAACATAAAATATGTATATATGTACGTACATAATTGCAGAAAAAAAAATCTTTTAAATACATTTTTTATGCAGCATGCAGACATATAATTAGAAACTATTCGCTATTTCATTTGTTATTTATAGATAGATAAACATACATATATTTACTCATGTACATGGCTGTATATATAACAAGTCACGTCTAATATGCATTATATTTGCACCTAAACCGTCAACTGGTTCTTCGTTAACGTTTGTTACCATTCTCATGCATGTATGTATGTATGGGTTTTGCTTTATTTCTCACAAAGCGAACATTTTTTGTACTACTTTTTCATACTAAAGTGTTTTTTTCTGGCTTGAGCGCTGCTCACGAAATGGGCGGAGTTATAAATAAGATATTGACATACACATACGTATATATGTACAAATGCCTGTATGTACATGGAAATGTGTGTTTGTATAAAAATAGTTATTGTGTTCCAATTGAGTGATATTCAATTAAAATTTTATTTAAAACTTTGCTTCCAGAAAAATAAATATGAAAATTGAGTAAAATTCTATTAAGTGAAATTCTATAAAGTATTCCTTCAAAAGCAAAAATATTCCTTCTTTATCTATTGTTTTTTTTTAAATATATTAATTTTTTTAAATATATTTAGTTCAGTATAACACTTTTATTCGATTTACCTTATTTTTTATTATTTTTACTTCATATTATTTAATGAAATTTTATTTTATTTCATTTCATTTCCTTTTCTATCATTTCTTTTTTTTCCATTTCATTTTTTCCTTTCATTTCATCATATTTCATTTCGTTTTCTTTCATTTACAATTATTTAAAGTTATTTAAACTCATTTCATTTTACTTAATTTTATTTTGTTTTATTTTATTTTATTTTATTTTATTTTATTTTATTTTATTTTATTTTATTTTATTTTATTTTATTTTATTTTATTTTATTATATTTTATTTTTTTGTTCTAAATTTAATGTTATTTTATTTTATTTAAGTTTAAATAAATAAAATTAAATTTAGTTTAATTATTTGTTATAATTAATTTATAATTTAGCTCATTTTATTTTATCTTAATTAATTTTATTTTATTTAGTTTTAATTTTCTACGGAAGGTTTTAAATACGTTACGTTTAATATTTGGCGTTATTTGAAATTTTTTTTTTCAGAAGATTAAAGGAAAAGAATATCCGACTCTACACATAATTTACTTTTTCAAATCTCATCAAATCCAAATTCCGCTCTGACTCATTAAAAATTCGCTTATTTGCTTCATTGTTGTTAATTTGAGTTTATTATTTAATATTTCTAGTCTTTTATACTAATAAAACATGTTTTTTTACTGAATTCACCATCTCATCTTCCCTATTTTTTTCAATTACTATTTTTTTCTCAGGCAGAACAGATTTGCTCTGATGACATAATAAAGTGTAATCTATCAATTTCGTTTCGATGTGTGAACAACACAAGTTTTAACGCGTCAAAGCTTTCTGTATTGTTGTTGCTGGTTTTTAGGAAATATTTCACTTTAATTGATTGAACATTTTAGTGAATTTCAGACAAATCATCGGCAATGAATCATTTTGTGTAATGTGAGTCATAAAAGAAACACCAAATTATCCTCATAGTGGGCTGTACTGGGGTGGAATTCGAAATATAAATTTTCAAATAAAGTGTCTAATACTTATGGTCTAGAGAGATGAGGTACATGTTTTAAAAACTATGTTAGTAAATTAAGCAAAAAAAGTTTACTATTTGGAAATTTTTAGATCTCAAATGTCAGTAAAAAGATGCGGCCGCTGTGGGAGAAAAGTGTACAGTAAATGACGTCATGTTGAATTTATTGCTTATTGTAACATAAATAAATATTTCTGATATATTGTAATCCGTTCATCGGTTATTATTCTTCATAAATACACATAGGAATAAGATCATATGAAGCTAAGTATCTCTGTAAATAGATTTCAGAACTTGACTTCCACTTAGAAAAATTTTGGCAAAGACTTGACTCAGAGATTAGTTTGAAAAATCGTTAGGACTAACGCTTTATTCTCACTCCGTCTCTGTTCCGTCTCTGGAGGAATGTAATCACTCCCATTGATTTGAATCTTTAAAGTTTATTATCTCGATTCTGCTGGATCAGCACAGTTAAACGATGGCATCGATATGGCCGGCTCTTTCCGCATGCACTTCTGGTGTTTCTTCGCAGCTTCCAATTCACCATTCTATGTTCATCTACGCTATATATATGAAGTGGAAGGGATCCAGTTGTTCGTCGAAAAAAGCTACTTCTTAAACTCTCTCTTATTTACTCTTAAGGTATTTAAGGTTAATTTTTAAAGCGATTAAGCTAAGCAGAGTCAGCGCACGGCATAAAAATATTTGCCTTCGAGGAGGCAAACTTTCTTACATATCACTCGATCAACTAGGTAAGTCTGATCTGAACTGAATTAAACGAATTTCCTGCCAAATTAAGAAACCCATTTGAAAATAAGAACAACAAGAAATCATTCACAGATTTAATTTCAAATTATTTAAAGAATACATACTTCATCAACAGAATTTCATGCGAAACCAACAGAACAAACTGTTTGTCTCAATTATTGGCCAAATTTCACTCAAGGTCGATCGGTTGGTCGGCCGGTCGGTCACAGAGACCCAAACAAAAAGGTCATGTAATCAGCGGAGAAACGTATGCAATTACCGGTAACCAAAGCAAAAAGTTTGGAATATTTAAATAAAAGGAGTCGTTTCATCATTTCTCAAAGGATGTTGTTATCTTTGTCTAAATTTGTTTTTGTTTTTCTTATTTTTAGCCAGCAGCCTTGTTGACGCACGACCATTGCAAAAACGCTTGCCAACTACGAGTCCATGCATACGTTCACAGCTACTTGGAAAAAATCCTTTATGAATTTAAATGCGTTTTCCATTCTGTCTTGCTTGCCAAATTTAAAGGATAAACGAGTATTTCTGGGAAAAGGTAAAAAACGAACGAGAAGGTTTAAACACTATAATGCTTCAAGGATAAAATAATTGCTGCTAGGAGAAAGTAGTGGAGAAATAATAAAAAATATATTAAACTGTTAAAAAACGCAAATAGTAAAAAACAACTCGGCTAAAAATTAGAAAGTCAGTAAAATTTTGGAACAAATCGTTCGTAGAAACATGCAATTTCGCATAAGAAGCGACTAGAAAATAGAAGGCGAAAAAAGCGTGCAAAAATGGTGAATGTGGAAAGCCAAAAAAATGGTATACAATTGAAAGTTAGAAACATAAAAATTGGAAGAACAACTGATTTGTTGAAAGTATACGTTCCGATGAAATCGAGCGTTAGATAACTGATGTCACTGTTGGAAGAAAAATCCAAATCGAACAATTAAATTAAATTAAATTAAATTAAATTAAATAAATAAAATGAAATGAAAATGAAATAAAATAAATTAAAATGAAATAAAATAACATAAAATTAAATGAAAAAAATGAATTAAGTTAAAATTAAATAAAATAAAATAAAATAATATAAATAAAAAAATAATATATGCAAATTTAAAATAAACCAAAATTGCGAAAATAAAACAAAGTAAATAAAATAAATTAACATAAACCAAAATAAAATATTTTAAGATTAAATAAAATAAAATAAAATGATAAAATAACAAAAAATTAAATAAAACAAATTAAATTAAAATAAAATGACAATAAATAAAATAAAATAAAATAAAATAAAATATGATAAAAATAATGAAAATAACATCAACTAAAATAAACTAAAACAAAAAAAAAATATATAAAGTAAAATAACTTTAATAAAATACAATGAACGATGCTAATTAATGTAAAATAAAATAAAATAAAATGCAATTAAATAAATTAAATTAAAATAAATTAACATAAAAATAAATAAAAAAAAATAAATTAATTTAAATTAAATAAAAAATGCTGCAAAATAATATAAAATAAAACACAATAAAAAAAGAAGTAAAATAACAGAAAAAAAATAATTAAAATAAAATAATATAAAATAAAACAATATAAAATTAAAAAAAAAATTAAA